TTTTAATTTAATTAGCTTTTTTATTGAATAATCTCAAATATACAAAGAATTTATTGAGGAATTAAGCAAAAATTTTCGCTAAAAGTTGAATTCTAAAACTAAACTTCCATAAAAAAACGCAATTCGAGCAATAAATTTCTATTATTTTATACTAGTGCAAACGTTTCGAGGTCGAATTACGTAGAATAACAGAAAACAAAACTGCCATATATAGTTGAACCCTCACTAAAAATTGGAACTCTGAAAAAGAACTATCGCAACTTATGCTCTCCTAATACAAATTTTCAGATTTAACAAAATTTTCAGTTTTGCTTGATATACGAGGGCTGGTCAAAAAGTTACGGAAAAACCAAATTTAAAAAAAGAATTTGAATTTTCCAGTACTTTTCGACTAACCCTCGTATTTGTCTCAAAACTGAAATTTTTCATAAATTTCAACATTTGTATTAGGAGAGCATAAGTTGCATCGGGTCTTTTTCAAAAAATTTGAATTTTCCATTACTTTTCGACCAACCCTCGTATTTGGTTCAAAACTGAAAATTTTCATGAATTTCGACATTTGTATTAGGAGAGCATAAGTTGCATCGGGTCTTTTTCAAAAAACAACTTTTAATTTTTCATTACTTTTCGACCAACCCTTGTATTTGGTTCAAAACTGAAAATTTTCATTAATTTCGATATTTGTATTAGGAGAGCATAAGTTGCATCGGGTCTTTTTCCAAATTCAGAAATAAAGCGCGGGATTAACTTCAGCATTCTTTCAAATTGTTCAGATCCTGAGCATACGATGGCTCTGGTTATTTTCCAAAACTTGACATAATTATCTTTCTTTTTACAGTATTTGTGCTATTTTGTTCTTTACTGATGTTTAAGGCTGAGAATAAAATTAAAAAGGCATACTTTATTTATTTATTTATTTAAATACCAATGAATGATAATACAATGAAAATACATTTATTATTTAGAAATACAATTTACATTTATTATAACAAAGTACAAATTTATTTCAAATAACAATACATTAATATAAACAAAATGTCTAAGATATAATACATTTTAACGACTTATAAAAGTTAAAAATAAAATACCTGTAAGAGAGACAAGAAAATCAATAAAATTTCAAAGAAAATACATTTATTATACATAAACTGTCATACCATTATTATTTAAATGCAAGATTAGGGAGAAAAAAGCCTCCCTAACCTTCTGTGGCCTCCGCATCTCCCCTTATAGCCACCCTATCCACCCAAACGAACATTAATTTTGAAAGCGTAAACAAATAATTAATTTAATTTAACAATTATACCAAAAAATCAATTTAGAAACATTTTAAATATCAACCTAAGTTATGATTATAAAGATATAACAGTTTATGCAGTAAAAAACAAAATACCTGTAAGAGAAAGACAAGAAAACACATGAAATTTCAAAGAAAATACAATAAAAAGCAAACAATACGATGTCTTCAGTCTTCTTCGGTTACCTGAAAGCGAATAGTGCAATTACAAGGACTAACGACAAATACTAATAGCTTTGGTAGAGAAGATCGGACAGATTTCGCCAAGGCAAGCTGGGCAGTCGCCTATTGCTCCTATTCCAGATAACCCACTGTACCCTGTCTGAAAGGAAGTAACGCTAGAGTAGACTCGCGAAAAGTGTATAAGACACTTTTAAGATCAACTAAATAGCTAAGCCCAAGGGAAGTCGTTCGGGGAGGCCCTCCCTAATTCCACAAGGGTGAGAAGAAACACACACGATAACGAAACGTTGAATCATGTAGAACTCGTAGGGTAAATGCAAAGCAATTTATAGTAAGAATATGCAGTAAGCTAAGCGAAGAGGTAAGCAAGAGACATGTTAGACTATACTACAACTACTAAACGTGTTAGTTTTACTACTACTTTATACAAAAAAACAAGCATCTACAATTAACAATTACTTCAAATAAAATGAACAAAAATAAGCATGCAAAATAAAAATTAATTTGAATAAAATCAACTTAATGAATTCTACTAGATAGAGCATGCAAGATAAAGAACTATTTCAACTACGGGGTCATCTTTGTCTTCTCCAACATCGATCTGAAAAAGATACGTTGGCAAACAGATTAATAAAGAGCAATTAAAATTATTATATGAAGTATTCTCACCTTAATTAATTGTAGAACGTAACGTTCTAAAGCTTACAGGTGTGAAAAGCAAACTAACTCCAGGAGGAACACCATAGCAGATAAGTTGTTATTTTAGTGGAATTCAAATAAATATCCAGTTGCTTTCACCCATGGGTTGAAAATTAACTGCATGATGATAGAAGGTGAAGACGAAACAGCTAATCAGGAATATAATCCACGAAAGACCACACCTATGTAGACATTGGCTGATTTAGTATGACCAAACTGAACATTAATTCTCTCTCATTTGTTGTATAACCTGTAGAAACGGACAAATAAATACATTAGTTACTTATAAACTTATTAAACACATTTAACACAAATAAAAACGCACCAAAAAACAAGTAAAATAGCTGAATAATAAATTGACAAGGTGTTACCTTTACGCCATTTTACATCACAACCATAAATCACGACATAGATAAATGTCAAAAACACGACGTCAATTTATGAAATAATCGAAAAAGGTTAAAAAGAAATTCGGTAGATAAACGATAAATACCAATTTATTTTGTGGAAAACGGAAACAGTCAAAAGAAATATGGTTGCACCACAACCGCAATTTATACTGTCAATTAATAATTATTAACAGAAATGTCATAACAGATTAATAAAGAAAAATTAATATTAATGATGTCATGTATTCTCACCTTAATTAATTGTAGAAGGTAGCGTTCTAAAGTCTACCAGTGTGCTGAGCAAACCAAATCTGGAAGGGATATCCCTGCAGACAATTTGTTGTTTCATTGGAATTCAAATATCCAGTTGCTCTCACTCGTGGGTTAAAAATTCACTGTATGATGTTGGAAGGCGAAAACGAAAACAGGAAATCAAGAGTACAGTCCACGAAAAACAACACCCATGTAGACATCAACTGTTTCAATACGACCATACTGAAGTTATATCACCCTCATTTGCTGGAAAATCTACAGAAACGGACAAGAAGATATATTAATTAAGAAACACAAGTAAAATACATAAAAACGCACCAAAAACCAAGTAAAATAGCTGAATTATAAAATAATGACATAGGAAAAATTTCAAATAACGACGTCAATTTACGATGCAGACAACAGAAAAAGATTATGAATAAACTCCATAGATCAATGATAAACGTCGATTACTCTATGAAAATAAAAACTGTCAAAGAAATGTAGATGTACAATAACCTCAATTTATACTGTCGATAATGGATAATTGTTACCAGAAATGCTGTAACAGATTAACAAAGAGCAATTAATATTATTGAAGTTATGTATTCTCACCTTAATTAATTGTAGTAGGTAACGTTCTAAACTCTACCAGTGTGATGAGCAAACCAAATCTAGGAGGGAAACAACTATAGACAGTTGATTGTTTCAGTTGCTTCCAAATTAACTCCCGATTGCCTCCCATAGTTACAGGAAAAATTAACGGCATAATGTTAACACGTCAAAAGCATCGCTTGTTTCAGTAGCATCAAAATTGACTGCAATTCCTTCTCATTTGTGAGACAATCTATATAAGAACAGGCAAGAAAAAGTAGTTAATTATCATTTTTAATTCAAGTAAATTAGTATAAATCAGTAACACGCACACTCATGGAAAGATCCGTTCCACATTAAATTTGCTTTTGCCATTTCTAAAACGTTTCTTAAAAGTTGTCTATTGAAGCAAGTTACAAATGCCTAACAAATTGAAGGTATTGTTGATTGTACGTTTTCACGACCGGTGTCGAATATAGGTGAGTTGTTGTCCCGGCTGATGGGCCGTGGTCTGTTGGGTTGTTTTCTCGACGTTTCATTCACAACTGTGGTGGACATTTTCAAGGGCGATGTCGAAGTCTTCTCTGATGCGAAACGGTGACAAGCGTGCTCGTATTTATATCGTTCTGAAAGGTGCCCTCTTCCTTTTTTATTGAAATTATTCTTGTGTTTATATATTTCAATGGCTTCTCTGTACAAGCGGGAATGGTAATGGTTGTTCTTTGCCAAAACATGAACGTATTAAGTGTTGATCTTCTGTTACTTTTTTTTCCTCTTTTGTTACTGATAATTTTTCTGTGTCCTAGGCAACATAGGCTTTTGTATTCTTTTATCCTGGTCTTTATACTCCTTTTTGTAGTTCAGATTTACATTGGCAAACTTGAAACTTGAGATGCCTACAAAAAAAAAACTGTTATAAATTACTCAATCTTCGGACGGAAGATTAAAAACTTATTGTTTCGTTCTTATATATACTATATGCTTATTAAAAAAGGTGGTATATTACTTTTATTCTTAATCAATTGTTTCTTTGTTTAAGAAGCATCTATCTCCTTGACTATCACTGCTTCATTACATTTTCATACTCTCATCACAATTTTCTAAATAAAAATAACAGGTTTTTGTATGCATATTTAAGTATCATCGTCTTTCTCTATCAGAATTCCTATAAAAAATTGTAATGTACAGGACACAAGGTAAAAATATGCACATTCGAGAAATATACAAAACAAAGTGATAAAAATTCATTTACAATAACAGTGTTAAGTGCTGTAAAATCAATTATATTTATAGACGTCTTATGCACCAGATAAAATTAAATTATTTTATTAAAATCTAAAAATTTAGTGGCTTACAAATTTCTACTCGCACTGTAATATTTCTATCTTTATGTAGACTACAGGGTACTCTTTTAATTTCGCGCGAAGGTACCATCATAATTTGAATTTAAAATACAAATTGTTTTAAATATTTTTGGTGACTGTTGGTCCTTGATATAGGCAACCTACTTCACTGCAGAGTATTCTGAGTGTTAGGCTACAGTAGCAGTTAATTCTTTTATTAATGACGACTTTCAAAATCATGGTTTAAAAAAAATATTAATAATCAAGAAATAAAGGCGTTTTTAAACTGGGGGTTAGAAGTGTTAATCGATATTCTTTATGAATTTTTGTGGCAAAATCAGAAAAACGTAGTGGAGCTACAAATGTCAGCAAGGCCTTTTGAAGCAAGATACAAATGTTTAAGAAATTGAAGTTTCTGGGACCTTATTTGCTATTTCTGATTGATACTGTTATTTACCAGTTCAATGTCATAAATCCTTCCTTCTGCTACCGCACACTGTCTTCGTTCCCAACGGAAAAAACGCACCTTCACGCCTTTCTCAATACTTCAGGTATACATTCCAGAGTAAAAGAGTACTGATACAACCAATGTTTCATAACACATTAAATATGGAGTATTTATGTTCCTGCAAAATAAAATATTATGAAAGTTTTCAGATATTATTGACTTAGCCTCCCTACTAAAACACATACATAATACAATATTAGAGTAACGCCCAACGCTTTTCTCTTTCAACATCAAATAAATATGTTGTATATGACTTTTACAATTATTTACAGGTACTGCTATGTTTTGGCAAAGAATTATAATGGCCGTAATACACTTTATAGTAAATAACTCTTCTTAATATAACAATTGTTTTTAAATTAAACTAATTGCAAAAAATACCATGCCTACATTAACAATTGAAAGCTGAAATGAAAGACATTATTTAATAAAGTTAACTGTTTTAAGCTATTTATTATTATTTGTCTGTTTATATAAATTAAAAACATTATTATGATTTACAACAAGTTTCAACATCTTACCTACGATAAACTTCAACCCTCGTTAATGACGTGTATGGACCATTTAACTATCTAACATCATCAAGAGGCATTATGTAAAGAATCATATTTTGACCTCTTGATTGTGTGTGCGCTCATAATAATTGACAATTCATTGTCACAAATGAACAAGTGTGATGGTAAAAAGACACTTTTACAGTTGTTTGATGTATTGCTGCTTTCTGGAGAAAAGGTGAACTTCTACAATCAATGCTCCACAATAAATGGTATCCAGAGTTTGTATAAAGTCCTGTAGTATAATTTGCTGCATTAAAAACTGTAATTTTAAGCCATATTTTAGAATAATCATGTATAGAAATGTTGTTAATAAGCCTGATCACAACTCCAAAAATTTATGCATTATGGTATAATGAAATTCGACCGGTCAAGAAGTTGAATTTTTATACATTAAGCGAATGAACCTAAGAAACACAGCGTAACATTTTAGAAGTACCTTACTGTTATTTTTTAAAAAATTGCACCCAATTGAAGTTTTTCTAGTATATTAACAAACAGTTTCTGTATTCTCTTGATGTGTAATATACTATACACAATGTTAAAATCTGTCGATTTAAATTATTAAGAATTTGAAGCTTTTATCAAGTTATTGGGTAACGTCTACAATTTGTAGTTATTTTGTTTCAAAAGATGAGATAATATGTACTTTGTATACGTCTACATAATGCAGAGTCAATTAATTTTATTTAGGTGTTTAAAGAAAACCAAAAGATGACACAGATAACACAGACTATTGCTCATATCACAAAAGAAAAAAACATTTAGAAGGTATTATTCATCCTATGCAGAAACGTAATAAGTTTTACTTATAAAATCATCGTAAACAAATTGACAAGCATCTTTCTTTGGTATAAGCGTATAAGGGTGGAAAATTTTCAATTTCATTTGAGATAATTCAAAATTACAACCAGCCAACGAAGGTGCATGCCTTTTTTTACAACAGTTTTATAATTAAAACATTTCTTTTCCTTGGTATGCCATTTCTTATATTTTTAAAATACAATTCTTCTTGAAAACGTAGAAATAAATTTTAGACTTTAGATGCCTACAAAATAAACAAGTGTTTCAAATTTCCCAATCTCAAGCTCATCACAAATTTTTCAAATCAAATTAACACCTTTTTGTCCGTATATTTAACTTTTGCTATCAGAAATCATATAAAAAATTGAAATGTACAGGACAGAAGGTAAAAATGCTCACGTTAAAGAAATATACAAAACAAAATGAAAAACAGTACTGTGTTGCAAAATCATATGTATTTTCATTGATTGCTTGTGTATCAAATAAATTTAGATTATTTTATTAAAATCCAAAAATTTAGTTTCAACTCGCACTGCAACATCTTTATTTTTATCTAGACTACAGTGCACACTCTAATTTTGCGGAAAGATAACATCATAACATGGATTTAAAATATATTTACTTTTAAATTTTAAATATAGCTAAGACTGCTCGACTTTGATACAAGCAACCCACTTCACTGCAAAGTATTCTGAATGTCAGGCTGCAGTGGCAGTTCTGAATTCCTTATTTATTAAAGAGTCGGCTTTCAAAATCAGGGTTTAAAATATTAATAATCAAGACATAAAAGCGTTTTAAATTGGGGGTTGCAAATGCAAATCGATGTTCTCTGTAAATTTTTGTGGCAGTCATTAAAATGTAGCAGGGCTATAAACGCCAACCTGTCCTTTTCAGAAAAAAAATGGATAAACTGAAGTTCGCAATTATATTTAGCCCCAGCAAAACAATGGACAATCTAACGGTATTATACAAAGAAGTAACGTACGTTCGTCATCCTATGCATTACGTTCCCATTACGTCTTTCGTTAATCAAACTGACAACAAATGAATAAAGTGTAATTAATATTAATGTGACTGTGGATTATTACCTGAATTAACTGTAGAAAGTAACGTTCCAACGTTTACATGTGTGGAATGTAAACCAAATTCAGAGAGGATACCAATGCAGACAATCCATATCGTCATCGTTAGGGTTAAAATTAACATCCCAATTTATTAGCCAATCTATAGAAACGGACAAAAAAAAATATTAAAAACTTTTAATCAATAATATTTTAAAGGTGCCTACTAAAATAGTATACCCACAATGTACCATTCATTAATGAGCGAATTAAACATCTGCTATGATATTTAACGCTTATCATTTTACTTCTGATTTTAAAATTAAAGTCAAAATATAAGTATAGATAACATATTGACATTCACATTGTCAGAAACGACATTAATTCTGCTTTTGACATTTCTAAAACGTTGTTTAAAATCTCCATATTGAAAGTAAGTTATAAATGTCTAAGAAATTGAGGATTCTAGGACCTCATCTACTATTTTTAATTGTTACATACTAATGCCAAAAATGCACACAAAATACCACTAGCAAAACATACAAAACGTAGAAGCAGCATCAAACAAGTGAGCGAGAAAGAAACACGTCATCGACAAGATTAAAATATTTGTTAATCTTACCCAAGGTACTAATACATATTATATTTAGTATGTACTCTTTTTTTTACTAATACATTGGTAAAATTTAAATGCATTCACTGTCACTAATTATCACGATAATTAGATAAAACCATAGATAATAGATACACAGAGGGATAAAACGAGACATTATTGTCTTAATAATAGCACAACTGCAACTGGTAATGAGATAATCTGTGAGCGTAACGGAAAATGGCAGCTTTCTAACGTGGCGCGGAATAATTAAAATTCTAAAGATAAAAACATTTCTTGAATTGTGAAATATAAAAAAAGTATAACTTTTTTAATTCTTCTTTCAGACTATTTTTTTAATTAATTAATTAATAATTTATGTTTAATTTTAATAAATTCTGCGCCTGAAACATTCAAATGTGCTTTTATTAAGTTTTATCAAATATTAATTACTTTAACAAAATATTCTGAGCAAAAAACAACAAAACTATATGCATTTGCTATTTCATAATTCCAAAAATTATTATAACTTTTGAATTTTAATTATTTAACACGCCCGTAAAAGGTTCAGTTAGGAAGATAATTTTTTAGAATTCAGATTAATAAATTCCACTCCTAATCGTATGCAACCATACATACACCAGTGTAAAATCAATTGCATACTGATAAGCGCTCCAAAACTGTAATATCTAAAAACTAGTTTTCGCACCCATAAAATGAACAATATTATTTATATCTTTTAAGTTGGAAACAGAATGAAATAGGAAAATATTACAAACATTAATGCTTTTTAACAAGAAAATGCGTTACATCTGAAATTATCAATTATTCACGCTCTGCCCTTTATTACAAAGCGAAAACGTGTCTATAATAAATACCCTAAAATAATTATGTATTTCCGAAATTGTCATAAAAGCTTAACTTAAACGCTTCTTATTGCACAACAAACAAAATCATTAAAATAATCAATTTTATGATTATTTGGGTCTGCCAAACAAAAACGAAAAAATGTTACGACTAACATTAACACTTATACGTTTTTAGTAGAGCAAAAAAGAAGAAAAATTAAAAATTTAACAGCACACAAATATACTATTGATCCTGACTTTTAATTAGTTTATTCCAATGTTCACATGAATATAAAACGTGCTAATAAATTACCTCAAATATGCATTAGAGTTTGATTCTCTTTTTTAGTGAACAATGCTTTTACAATAACAAAGAAAGTGTTTCGAAATAAAATTAGTAATCATTACGCAGAATAATCATCACTTTGCCAAGCCTTTTCATTTTATCTTACAAATTAAAAGTTTGTCACTTACCCTTGTTGTTTTTGATTTCATTGAATAAAAGGATAATACTCCATACTGGAAGGAAATACAGACTGCTACTATCACAGACCAACTACACATGATGTCCAAAGATTGTGCAATTTTCCTGTTAAACAATTAAAACAATATTTAAATATACAATTAGTTCAGTTAAAAAATGTGATAACAGAACGTTAAAACGTAATGCATAAATAAGTCCGTTTGTGGTGATCTGGATATATAGTTGTCTTTTTAATACATAGTTACCATTTCATCAAACTGTTATCAAAATTTTAAATTAAAAATGCACAATGAGATTGTACAATTATACATAAAAAAAATGCGAATGTATACTAAATTGAAAATTAAATAGCATATATTCCAACTGCAAATATAAATTCTTGATTAACAAATATACACACGCATAAATAAAATACTTAAAATCAGAAATCCCACATACTGTATCTAATCGTATCTGCTTTAAAAGGTTTGGTGCCTGTCAGCCAAATAAATAAATAAAAAATAAATAAAGGTGTTTTATGTTAGATTTAAGTATTTAGTTTTTTATTTCCTTTGTCCTGCAGAACTTCTTTTGATTTTTTTGCATGAACATGAACATATATATACCGACAAGAGTGAAATAAATTTTAAGTGCTCTCATATCATACATAACTGAACTGAAAAGTACAACAAACACAAATTAAATACATTATTAAATTAACAAGATACAATAACAGATAAAAACAAAGCAAATACCAGAAACAATTGAAAATCAGTTCCAAGAATTGACTGCAAAAACAGTTCATTCATTAAATTCAAAGAGTTCTACCTAATGATTCCATTTGTTTGTATCCATACTGGTCAAAGTCCTATTTTGCACCATATAATCGTTCGTATCACCAAAGTTGAGTCTGGATACTATGACCACTATAGGCATGGATAGGAAGAAGCCCCAAAACAGCAATAATTGCCTGATATACTATAAACACCTTTTTCTGTAAAAAAAAAACACAAAATGGGTAATTTTTTACATTAGTTGACATTGGAATTGAGACATGAAGTTTAGTCAGGTAGGTAGTACTCACCAAGTAAAGTAGTGTAGTAGTATTTACTAGAATTTTGTTTATTATTTGTTTAAAAGTCAATGTGAGTGAGATACAGGCCCTTAAAGTTTTCTTAATCGGAGGAAATTCCGATAGGTACGGCCCTGGCTTCAGCCTTACGTCAGCTGTTCCCGCCAAACATCGTTTGTCCTAAAACATATCTTCCTAACATTATTCTAATGTATCAGCCCGCCTTCGGCGGGCAGGAGCATTAAACGAACTCAAGTCTGTCATACATCTACCTAACTAAACAATGACGTCATCAATGCATATTTGGCGAGAACAGTTGACGAAGAGCTGCAGCCAGGGCCGTACCAATCGAACTTTTCTTCGATTAAATAACTTTAGGAGCCTGTATCTCAAGCTACATTGGTTTCCGCACGGAATTAATGCTACCACACGATTGTACTTGGTGAGTACTACCTACCTGAATAAACTTCATGTCTCAATTCCAATGTCAACTAATGTAAAAAATGACCACAAAATGTCTTAAGCCTCGTTATAATACCGTAAGGTCGTATATACTTGATAAACTAAATCAAATGTAAAATTAATGAAGTATTTTTACCACGAAAAATGTTCCACACTGGTTCCCTACCATAACTACAGATATCGGTTATATCATTGACGTTTTATCATAATTGGCTAGGCCTGTGAGCCATTAAAAATATTAAGGACGTGGAGCCTTCATCACAATTTTGGCATAGTTTCATTTTATAATTCGAGTGTTTATGACGTTGTTAACGTCATATGTGAAAGAAACTAATGAACACAAATGAAAAATAAATAGATTCTTTACTGAACTCGAGGGAAATGTATATAATTTTGATTTTACTATTTTACTACCTTAAGATTGTAAAATTTGAATAATTTTATTAGATGGATAGATACTTAAAAAGAAGTGAGAGACTACGATCAAAATTAAACTTTTAACAATCTCTGTCTGTGTTATGCGGAGGAATTTGCAAGAATATTTTTGCGTCAGATGCATATCACTTATGTAAGTTGTTGCAAATTTTAGTATAAATAGTTAAACAATTTAATTTTTATTAACAAATAAGATAATCAAAAGAACTTAACCCCACTATTTAAAAAACTGCGGACAAATGTTTCGCTAATTTACATTATAAGTATCTTCACCACCGGGAGTTAAGACTAAATAAGGTCCCTTTGGATATTTTATTATTTCCAGGCCATAGTCTCACTTTCTGGTCATTCCACGGGTCATATGCAGTGATCTATGGTAATGATCATAGATAAGGGATATCCAAAAGAGATAAGTCGTATAAATTTGGCGCCGGGCAAAAATAATTCACTGGTTTGAACTTTACTAATAAATTATGTACCGTTTGCGGGTTCTAAATATGTAAGTATCATAATTGTGCGTCCATTAGTTCTGTTAAAAATTGTTTCGGGTGTAGATGGAAATTAAATGTCAATTTATTCAAAAACTACTGAAAATATGATAATTTAATTGACGTTAATTGATTGCGTGTCATTTGTGCTTAACACTAATTTTTCAGAGATATTACTATGATCATATTTATCTATGATTTACCAATGGCGTACGCAATTAGTTATATCAATGAAAAATTAAGTATTATACATCGACGTTTACTAATGGACATGCCTTAGCGGTCCGAATTGTGATACAACAAAAGAAAGAACACGATAGTGGTAAGCGTGTCATGAAAGAAATAGCACTAGTCCGAAACCATACGCCATCTCCCTCACTTTTCGAGCCAACAAATTATTACAAGGACGTACGGCTAAGCCACGTCCATTAACATATGTCTATGGTATTATACTTGTCTATGTGTATATGTAATTATTACTAATAAATATAATGACTAAATTCCGTTTAAAAAATTATTTCAATGAACCAGACAAAGATCTCACATAGATACCTAAACGTGAATGGCGAATCGTAGATAATATGATCATTGATTAAAGATTTTTAATAATTTATAATCTATGTCGTGAATGTATAATAGTATTTCTTTTTATCGTTATACTATTTACAATAAATAATATAACGATAAATTTCACTTACCATAACAGCTCAGTACTCAAGCACAAATGACGCGCAATCGATTGGCGTCAATTAAAATATGACATCTTAAATAGGTTTTGAAACAGTTTTCCTTTTTTTGATTTAAAAGACTTAATAATTGATTGAATTGTGTTTATGCAACCCGGCTATCTCAGTGGGTATGCAGTAAACTACAGTGGTATCAAATAAATGAATTAAAATCTAAACTTATAGAAGTGATTTAAAAACTAAACATTTAGTACATTTATTTGGTTAACATAACTCCAAACATAGAAGATTGTTGTAACTGCTTGTTGCTTGACAATCATACCTGTAGTTTTGTGATCAGATACATAAAAAATAAAAATTGTCAATATAAATAAATAAAGGTGTTTTATGTTAGATTTAAGTATTTAGTTTTTTATTTCCTTTGTCCTGCAGAACTTCTTTTGATTTTTTTGCATGAACATGAACATATATATACCGACAAGAGTGAAATAAATTTTAAGTGCTCTCATATCATACATAACTGAACTGAAAAGTACAACAAACACAAATTAAATACATTATTAAATTAACAAGATACAATAACAGATAAAAACAAAGCAAATACCAGAAACAATTGAAAATCAGTTCCAAGAATTGACTGCAAAAACAGTTCATTCATTAAATTCAAAGAGTTCTACCTAATGATTCCATTTGTTTGTATCCATACTGGTCAAAGTCCTATTTTGCACCATATAATCGTTCGTATCACCAAAGTTGAGTCTGGATACTATGACCACTATAGGCATGGATAGGAAGAAGCCCCAAAACAGCAATAATTGCCTGATATACTATAAACACCTTTTTCTGTAAAAAAAAAACACAAAATGGGTAATTTTTTACATTAGTTGACATTGGAATTGAGACATGAAGTTTAGTCAGGTAGGTAGTACTCACCAAGTAAAGTAGTGTAGTAGTATTTACTAGAATTTTGTTTATTATTTGTTTAAAAATGAATGTGAGTGAGATACAGGCCCTTAAAGTTTTCTTAATCGGAGGAAATTCCGGTAGGTACGGCCCTGGCTTCAGCCTTCCGTCNATCTACTAATACGTCCGACAAATAGTATAAATTCTAAACAATATTTTATAAGTCTGGCTAGTAACGAATATACCAAGAAATAAAATTAATTTTTGATGATTTGTACGCAAATACTATAATAATGTGGATATATGGATTTTGGTGGACGTGCCGGACATGTATTTCGAATGGGATAAATATGATAAATATATTGATAAATTATAATAAGATACTTAATTGATATGCCTAATGCATACAGACATGTACATATGTAATATTTAGATGTCAGTAAGTACTTATATCCTTGTACTTAAAGGATATAAATATAAAACAGAAAAATTTGGTTTTAGGAAAAAATAATTTGTGTATTGATTAGCGATTTATCATTGTTAAAAAAAACGAACATTAAACTTTTAAAAAGAAAAGGAACAGTACATGAGCAGCCATCTTGGTTTGAGAGGAAAAACTAAGCGACAAGAAGAGCGGAGGGTAAATATAGATTTAATGAGAGTTTGGTAACATGAGTACAGAAGTGAGAAACGCAATAGCTGCTCCACGACGCAGGTTTTCAGTCGCTCAATGTTATCGCAATCGCAGTTTCTAAATGTGAAGTACGTCAGTGTCGTTCTATGGTGAAGTGTCATAAAAAAGTGGTGGGTTGGCGGAGTGACTGCGGGCGTGTGACATAACGGGCGGCCTTAAAAAAACAGTGAAAACTAATGGGGGAATTTACGTTGAGTGGAAATGGTAATATCGGTTTAGGCACAGTCGAAGTACCTGTAAATTCGAGCAAAAACAATCAAAATTCGCTTTTCTACACCACGCCTTCGTCCGTGAGTGATACAACCGTCCTGCAAAAGACGCAATCTCGCGCAGCAATGCAAGATGAACTTGCTGACAAAACAGCTGTCAGCGGATCTGGATCCGACGATCTGCCTAGCAGTCCAACATCAGAAAAATCGAAAGATTGTGTTGACACGAACTCTACTACTACGTCCGTCGATTTATCGGACAAACTAAATGAGCAAATAACGCACAATACCAACAAGGCTCCAACGGCTTTGCCCCTTTTTCACTCGAGCGAGCCCAGTACACCAGGAAGTCTTTGGTCGACAGCTTTCGAAGACGGTTTTGTACCAACAATACCCAGTGTTAATGGTAATATTGGATTTCAAAATTTTCAATCAACTGCTCAGCCCCAGTTGTTCGGTAATTCCGTTAATCAAAACCAAGGAGGCAGAAGAGCGATAACCGCGAGTCATAATTTCCCGCATAACTTGGGAAGACAACAAACGAGTCATCCTCTTTACAAAGCGGGATACGGTTCGTGGACGAATCCAGGTCAAAACTGGTCGGCCAGTACTTCAATTTGGAATAGAGGAAGAAGTGTGCCTAATCTTAATCCCCTTCAACAGATGGGGGTCGCTGGACGGAAACCGAGCCCCACTTTTAACCATCAGCAGGTAATGTCACCAGTAAAATTTAGACGCAGCACTTCGTACCCCGGAAAAGGACCATTTCCCCAGCCGCCTACTTTCGAAATTACTAATATGGACGAAGCCCGTGAATTTCTGCCTTATCAGGTAATTTGTGGCACCTTGTAGCAAGCACCGCACACACCCCTTCGGTTTACATTCACCACCAGCTAATACATATCTCTGTGCTGATGCTACTACCTACATACATGCTGCTGCTGATATTGCTGCTTGCTGTGACAGTTTAGGCTATTTTATGCTGTTGTTTTTGTTGTTGTCTGTGATATTTTGTTCCATTTCGTTTGGCTAGTAGACTATTTATTTAATTATTTATTTACTTATTTGTTGTGTTTTTGTAGTTTTGTTTTTGTTAAACACGAAAGTTTGGTTGGTTTACTTCCAAATAAAAAAAATCACACATAAATAAAGTTGAGACGAGAGGCATGACTAATTTTGAAATTTTCCACTGTCCTACTGATACTACATAGCACTGACACACATCATGTATTTATTCCCGTATTATTACATTCACTCGGTCGTCTTTTTGTTTTTCTAGTATGGAATACATCGATGCCTACAGAATTAAAAAAAAAAACATGACAGGTTTACATTTTTATCTCCTGACCAAACTTTATGTGTTGCTAGTTATTCATTGTATATTTTGTTTGCACTGATTTTGCATATTAACACTGTTGTAAACATTATTGTTACAATAAACAATAAAATTTAATCGTGTCTGTCGCCCATGTTGTTTGTTGTGTATATATATATGGTATGTATGCTTGTTGTACATTAGGCAGTTAAGAAAATGTGGTGTTAATAGGCGGAAATTTGATTGTACTGTGACCTACTTCTAAAAATGAACTATTTATTTTACACCAGAATTTTCTTCTAATAATAGCATATTGTTTATTCGTTTGTTATTAATTCGATGAAGCCAATATGGATACAGGTAGGTACGGAAGCTCATCTGTATATTTCGTAAAGTTAAAAAAAGAGGGACGGGTGCAACTGACTGTTACATTGGCGATATGTACAGGTACATATAAACGTGTCAAAAATCGATCTTTTGCTATCCAACTGCAAGGTATTATATTAATGTAAACCTGCCGCGACGTAAAGTGACGTACAGAACCGACGTAAAAGAAAAGAGCGCGCCACGCTGGTGACGTCACAATTCCAATTTAAATGTGGGGTTTCGAAATATCGCGAAGTTAACGTGTACAGGAACGTGGACTTCTTGGCTTACGTCCAGATCAGTTTAAATTCGTATGACCATCCACGTCCAACGTCGATATTCTGCACAACACGATAATTACTATTCGTTCATTAATAAAAAGTACATAATTAATCCAATTCTCAAAGACTAAAACAAACCAACATATTTTAACGAAAGCCTGAGAGTTACATTTTTAATTTAATCCACTGTATGAGAAGTAAGTTTTTGATTGTTCCATAACATAATATATGTGAGTGATAGAATTTTCAGAAAAGACTTTACCTAAGAAAATTAAAATAATCAGTACACTACTAACCCGACTAGATAGTATAACATACCTCGAGTTACATTTTTAATTTTATCCAGTGTACAACAAATACGATAAATACGTTGATATTATAATACGTATTATTATAATGACTGAAGTGTCCGTTATTTGAAAATGGAAACGTATACTGTCTATATGAGGAAATCGTTTGGATGTGTGCCCATGAATCAAAACCATGGTAGTATTAATTACGTCATTTGAAACCATGTGTGATAAAGGAGGCGTAATTAAAAAAACATACGTACCTATTTATTAATACATACAATAGAATGAATTCAATCAGAGGATGCGTAATTTTAAGAGATCAAATAATGTTTAAATTACACATATAAAAGTTATAACGTATAAGGTACTTTAGGTAAGTATCGTAATATAAAACAGTAATTGCATTTGTTGTTATTCAGCCTATTATATTCATTTTCGTTTGTTATCAGTATACATTTTTCGTTAACAATACGTATTGCAATTTGTATTTCAAACAACGGCGTTATAGTTTAATTGTGACATAATTTTTATTGAAGGTCAGATTACAAAAATTTCGGTAATGGGTAGAGATTACTATATACCTCTCCGATGTTTTTGAAGTTTTAGTGTGTTGCACTATTCAGCAGGTTAATTAAGAATATGTATATACAGTAGAATCCGCTTATAATGACATCGAAGGGAAATGACAACCATGTCATACAAAGCATAGTCTTAGAAAATAAACAACGTTCTATTTTGGTTAGTTATTTAGTTTAATAGGGAGAAAAACTACAAATTGTATATATTTATTAACAGAAAAAGAAAAAGAACGATGAATTTTAATATCAATATACATAAGAAGGATCAGAAAAATGTTGTTATTATTAATCATTTGGGTCACTATAGCCGGATATGGTTTCTTGAGGATCAGTTATAATAAACGATGTGTCATTTTAAACGGAGTCAGTTTTTATATCCAAACTTTTCTATAGAGAATTTAATATGAAAACCAAATTTAACACTGCAATTATTTCATATTAAGCGGTTGGTCAGTATAGGCGGAGTCATAATAAACGAATTCCACTGTAATCATATATATTGGGCGAAGAAATTACGTGTTCATCTACTTTTTCAACTTTGAAAAATTAAAAACTACGACGACGTATTATTGTTATCTCGCAAATCACTCGACTAAGGTAAGGGTTAGAGGAAAGTGGGGAGAGGGTTGTTAAAGATATGTTCAAGGTTTAAACAACCCCTTCCTCCCCATCTCTCCCTGGATCCAAACCGCAAATATCTCATGCAAGATTAGATTGAGGATGAAAGGGGAGCAAACGGGGTGTTAAAAATGTTGGACACATTTTGAACAACCACCTCCCCGTCACCCTCGATCCAATTTTACATGAAATATTTGCGGGATGACAATGTTAACAGGCGAATGATGAGGATACCGTGGATAGGGAAGGTTAGAAATGAAGAGGTATTAGAAGAAAGAATAGGAGAACAGAGGACACCTTCTCAGGCATGAAGGGCTAGTCAGAGACAAATTAGAGGCAGAAACAGGAGTTAAGAGGAGTGGAGGTAGACCTAGATTAGATTACTGTTCTCAAATAGTTAAGGATGTGGGATGTTTTAGTTTTAGGGAAATACGAAGATTAGCTCAGGATAGGAAAGAGTAGAGGTGCGTGTCCAACCAGTCTTAGGATTGACGATGATATGATGATGATGATAACAATATTAAACAATGCCCTCACTCCCTCAGCCATATATCGAGGGAAGAAGGTTGTTTAAACCTTGTAATAATTTTTTTATATTAATCCCTTAAGTACACGCTTAGATACAAATTATTTCGTAAATGACTTAGATGGCTTAAATGCATAGAGCCTTAGAGAAGTAATTCAATTTTTATAGGAATTTAACACCACATTATATTATTTGTAACTGCATTTGTATAAGGTAATTGTTTTAAGAAATATTATCTTATTTTACAAGAACTGAAGATAAGAAAACTGGCAATTAATTTAATGACGATTTTTTTCTATTAAACTATTTCTGAAAGAATATAATTTGCCTTCATCGAATTTTAGACCTATAAATAATTGTTTAAAAGTAAAATACGGTAGTTTAGTATAAATAATGTGGTTGTAAAAAATTCTAAAAAAGTAATCAACCTGTCGGATTTGATAGTGCATAAAAATAACTAACGATACCAATTAAAATAATAAATAATTACACTGCAGAATTCTTTCGCAATAGTTTAAAACTCATAATAGGAGCGATTTTTCGAAAAAAGAATGTTATGTACACATTTGAATTAGGGAAGTCTAAATTATTAACACTACCAACGTTCTTGACCTCACCAATACACGGCAATGATTCCTTATGCAAATATAAGGACAAGAATGGTGATTTAGGGGTGAGGATGTTAATAATTTAGACATAGTTAATTTGAATACATAAAATATACGCTATTAATGCTTACGTATAAATTTTAAACTATTACGAAAGAATTGGATTTTTTCATCCCTTTCGATTCGAAAAACGTTTTAGATATCTTAATCTGGTGTATAATACAATGCCTGGTAAAAATCGGAGGGATTCAAGTTGTTTCATCATCAAAAAAGAATGAGATGGAATCGTTGCAGAACTATTGCAGATGGAAAATTTCATAAAAACATTCAAATTTTTATAGCAAAAGCGTGGCGAAATTTAAAAGTAAACGGGCATTATTCAATGCTTACACACATTCTAATTTACCAAAAATGTGCCTACCTCCTACTTGTTTACTAAAAACGTAAAGTAACTCGCACTGGTAAACAATTTCGTAAATATTACAGGAAAAATAAAAAGACATCTCTGACATTTATAGTTCCGAATAAAATAAAAATAGACTGTTAATTTTTGTAAATACATACCAAGTTATCCCCGTAGATTGTGGACTATATACAGATTATTACTACGAATATTTGCAAAAGGTTCAGTTGTCGATGCATATTATTTTTATATCACACATGCGTGCCTATAATTCGAGAGTTCTATGTATGTGTGTCTGTATAATTATGCGAAGGTGTACGCTAGCAAACCATTTGTAGTGTAAAAATAAATGAAAATGCCTTTTTTTGCACTTGAATTATGTACATATGCCACTTTCTCTCATAAAACTTGAGCACTCTGCATAGGTTCGTTGACCTCGTGTATTTTTAATGCAGCCAGAGAGTTCTTTTTAATGAACTTTACCAAAAGAGCTCAGAAATTCAAAATAGACACATAGACAGCTTCCTAGCATCACATTTACACGGTCTCTGTGAAAACATTTAATAAAGTAAATGTCAATGCTCGATACTTAACCACCGTTTTGTTATTACTTATTAAATACTTAATAAATTAACCGTTTCATTACGAAATACAATAACTAGTTGACGATGTGAATAATTTAGAATTTATCTAGTTATTTNAATACAGCACTTATAAATTATTGACATCGTAATTGCTTTGCGTCGATTTTGAACAAGATCACTTTTTGTCTCCAAATACTATTATTATTTACGAAAGAAAAATTTGGTTATTGAAAAATATTTTGCAGTTTCTAAAAGACTTATTAATTATTGTCAAATTGAC